AGTGTAGAGGCCAAAGAGAAGGTCCACGTCATCAGCAACAAGCTGCATCTCCTGCTACGGCAGGTGGCTGCAGACCTGCGTACACTGCAGGGAACACTGGTAGGTCCATCTTCCTCTCAAAATCTCTGTCATGATATAAAGCAGCGGTGTCAAATAAAAGTCCTAAAGACCAGAAATGGCCTGGCAAAGAATCCAATTGGACCCACAGACACATGAAGGACTGCAGAGAGTTTGACATTTTACCTGTATTGTTATAAATTTCAGTACTTTTCCTTTTCCTATTGGTTAAACCTCCCATTACCATAGAAACAAGGACAATGAAAGATTTTCTTTCACTTGTCCAGCTGTATGTGGCCCACAATGTAACTTGATATAGAGCTATAGTTTATGTGGCTGTGCAAAAACCATAAAAAAAATCAGTTTTTCTGTTTGTGAACATTGTTAAATGTTAAAAGTCAAATACAGTTAGGCCCATAAATATTTGGACAGAGACAAGCTTTTTGTAATATTGGCGCTGTACAATAATTAAATTTGATGCAGTTTTAAATGAAACAACTCAACAATAAAGTCTGAAGTGCAAACTTTCAGCTTTAATTCGGTGGGTTGAACAAAAAGATTAAAATGTGAGGAACTAAAGCATTTTTAACACAATCCCTTCATTTCAGCGGTTTAAAAGTAATCTGACAAATTAAATGCCTGAAAATAAATGTCCATATCTAATACTTAGTTGAAAACCCTTTGCTGGCTGTAAATAAAACTATGATCCGAAGGTGCACCTGCAGATTTTTCTGCCTTCTAGCTCATTGTTGGAGCTTTTAAACTCAGCTATGAGGATAGCACTTTATGGGTCTGCAGCTTCTAAATGATCCCTTCCAAGATGTTTCCCAGAAAAAGACTGTAATTTAGAACGATCCATGCAGGAAAAAGAGCCGGTGTTGAGTTGATCCACTTCCATTAAATTATTTTTGAGTGTAATTCAGATCATATTTTGGTGCACAGCAGTCCAGCTGTAGAGTGGGAATTTCTGGCATGTACTTGCAAGGAGCAAGGGAGAAAACAAACCACCATTCAAGGGTCAATCATTCAAATATATATAAGTCATTTATGTATTATTGGGTCTACCTTACAATAAAGCGCCTGAGGTGACTGTTGTTGTGATTTGGCGAAACTGAATTGAAAAGTGCATGCTCTAATAGCAGTGCCTTTAAACGTGAGTTTTGCCCTCACTGAACTCTGTACTCACATCTGTTCAAACACAAATCTGGGGGAAATGCAAAAATGTGCAGCCGTTTGCTGCTCAACATTCCTCAAAGCCGATCATCTGTCAACGCTCTGAACTCGTGACTTAGAGCTGGTTTGATGAGTCTTGTCTCACTGTCACAGGAAACCTGCTCCACCAGTTCTGAAGTAGAAAGCATTGGTCTGGGAAAGCTCAGCTCACCGCTTCTGCAACAGGTACACCTTGGTGTTTTACCTTTAATTTAGACTGTTCAGAAGCTGCATTAAAATAGAGTAAAATTGAACATGTATTTCAGAATATGATCATTTTAGCAGTGTGATGTGTTAAATAAATAAAAGTAAAATTCATCCACTGAACATCCACCATATTAATAACTGTATTTTTCACTGCATACTCTCCACATTTGAACCTGTCTAGAGTACATTTGGTACACAGGAACATTTTGGTAATTTGGCCAGCAGGGGTGCCGCGGACACAGCCACACACAGAGTTACTTTTTTCTATTTTTAATCTGTTCTGAAAATGTTACTCGTAACACAAAATGTGTTACTGTGTTTAATAAGCTTGACATGCTTTTTATACATGTTAGGTTTAACATTCTTATTAATGCAAAATATTAAAATAGTAAATTTACTCAAGTGTTTAGACTGAGCAATTTTTAGCTACACTGATAACATGCACACATTCACCTGGCATGCTGGTAGTGTGGATGTTTGATTTCATCTCAAAGTACATTTGAGGCAAAAGTCTTGTGATGTGTTACACATTAAGTCCACATTTCCCAGTTCCCAATTAGAATTTTCATCTGGGATTCCCATCAACTCGGACTTCCAGCTCGGAAAGTCAGAACAGCCCAACAAACCCTGACTTTACAATGAGAGTAAACAGTAGTAAAACTGTAAAACTTGTAAACTGCACAGTCACTGTTGTGTATTTGTGACTCATTAGGCACGCTGGTCACAATAAACAAAAACAAGTATTGCTCTGTTTTGCTTGTGATTAATGCTAACTTGCTAACAAGCAAAGCAAATCCTGATTTTCCTCGAGGGCGGAATATCTTTTGGAGGAATGGCATATTTCCCTCTAGCAGAATTCCAGAAACTTGTACTGGCAAGCATTAATTAGATATCGATCTCCTCCACAGTGTGTTTATTGTCCTGTCTTTCTTCCTTCACTCCAAACTGCTCAGGGCAGATGGCCCCGCCCCTCCCTGAGCCTGGCTCTGCCAGAGCTTTCTTCCTGTTAAAAGGGAGTTTTTCCTTCCTACTTTATTGGTCATAGGGGTCATCTGATTGTAGGGTCTTACCCTACAATCACAGATACCTTGTGGCATTTCTTGTTGGGATTTGGCACCATATAAATAAATTAAATTGATCTCGGGAGTGGCGTTACTCCTTACCAATACCATTTAAATGCCAGTTGGACTCCACAGTGCTGGGCAGTGAGCAAAGAGCACAGAGCCTACTGAAGGTCATTTTGTTGTATGTTCAGGATCACTCCTGAACATACAACTTCCAGGGAACACAATATTCAAACTGGAACCTGTTTTTTCTTTAACATTTATATGAGACCATAATACATTTAACCCTCTGAAACAGACTTATTGGGGAGAAAGTCAAAAATTGCTATCTGGGTTTTTTGGAGGGGTTTTTTCTAAACATATTCTGATTGCCTAGCTTTTAGGTTTAGTTAGGGTTGGGGTCTTCACCAAAGATGTCTTGGAGTTTTAAAGCAGGGGTGTCAAACAATAGACCCTGTGGGATAATTTCATATGTCAGTTATCAGTGGCCCATCGGTATTTGGGACAGCAAGTGCAGTGGTACAGGCCAGGTACACAGCGAGACTGGGAGCCCGATTTAAATGCAAGCGAGTTGGGAAAACGCAAAGAAAGGAGTGAAAACATAAACTGAGCAGCATCTGGCTGCATTTCAATGATATGGGAGTCTACAAAGCAGAGTGCAGAATTTATAATAACTAAACTAGGAGCTGGATAAAGTCATACCCGTTTTAATTTTCAGCAATTTTCGGTTGTGCAGGACAAAAGGTTTCAAACTTGTCCTTGTTTCCCCAGTGGTAGTAAATCTGTAAAAAAAAAAGCTGCCTAGAAAAAGACTAAAGTTACAGTTCAGTACTGTATATTACATAAAAAAGACTATATATAAAGTGTCCTTGAAAAGCAGAGAAGCTGAAATGTGTGCTTGTAACACAGAGCCATGGATCAGTGTCTAAATGAGTCTCTCAGATCTGAATGTGCGCTTGAAGCCATTTAGAATAACTAGTTTTATGTGCTGCTCACCACAACAAACACAAGCATAAATTTTGAACTTTTTACTGCATTTTCATAAGTTTTACAGCTGTTCCTATTGATAAAAACCTCCCTTATGGCCATTCATACTACACAAAGTAATTAAGCAATAAACAATTAATGTGTTGACCCCCAGTGCCCCCCATACCAGAGGCAAGAAGGAGAAGATCTGGTTTAATGGGATGTACTGTGAGATCTGTTATTTAAATATAGACATGTGTGGTATCCACAGAAACGTCACAATCTCAGCTAAAAGCTCACAAAACCATTTCAACAACCACTGAACCAAACACAAAGCGCAAACATACACGAACATGCTGTTGGGTGCTGAAAGCCGACATCTCTCAGATTCCAAAACTCCCTGACCAAAAGTCACTGAACCAGCAGCAAAAGATCTTTGGAAAAAATTGTCATGAATTTTGTCTTACCTTCACTGTTTTGCTTCCACCGCGATAAAGTCACACTTCCTGCACAGATATCTCTCCCAGTGTGCTTCGAGACCAGTTTCCTATCAAAAATCTCTATTTTCTGCAAAATTCACTTTCTTATTACACACCATTCTACCATTGTGTAGTGTTGTCAGCCGCTGTCCAAGTGATAAACACATGTGCTTTTTTCTTTGATTCAGGAGGAGGCTGGTCTGCAGGCAGCTCCGGTCAGACAATCAGCAACCAAAAGGTACCTTTTTATTTAATTAGAGTCAGAGTTAAATGAACCTTAAATCAGTCTCTATTCTAAAAAAAAAACAAAAAACTACAATCTTAGATCTCAAAGTGCAAAACGGCTGTTTATATTGCAGATTTGAGAATACAAAAATAAAGATGTTGTTTTTGACTTTTGTTCTGTTTGGTGAACAACATAAACATCTCTTTACTCTCTCAACATTTATCCACTTGCAGGGAGGAGAGACAGGACTCTTCCCCACAGCGACCCCTCTTCTACCGGGTTCTGCGAGCTGCTTTCCCCTTGCACCTGCTCTTCTTCATGCTCCTGGTTCTGGCCTGCCTGGTGCCTCTCTCTGAAGAGAACTACAGCTGTACACTGACCAACAACTTTGCCCGATCTTTCTACCCCATGCTGCACTACACCAACGGCCCCCCACCCACATGATCACTGCCACACTTTGTGTCCATGTTCTCCTTATAAAGGGATAGTAGAAAAAAAACAAAAACAGCCATATAGTGGAGGTAAAAATCCCAAATAGACACCGTTAACAATGTGACGGGTCATGTACCTGCTCCCTCCCATACAAAAATGAAGCACAGTTCTTCATGTCTGAAGGAATCATGTGTTCTTCACTCTAAACTTTATTGCTGTACTAAATTATTTATTTATTTATGCTCCTTAACAAGAAGCCATATTACTGCTGTGTTTAAGTTGTGATTTTTAGATTGTAGATTTGCCAGCTGATTTCCCCGCTGAAACAATTTCACACTTTTCAGATTCAAAAGGAAAAAAGGCTCCACGATTTATTTTGATATCTTCTATTTTGTATAGTGCGGTATGAGGGATTCGAGGGCGGTTATTACCAAAGCAACTGAAGAAATGTGAGGAGTACACCAGCCATTTTCTACCACTGCAGCTATTTGTACCAATTTTGTTTGTTTAGGGGGTTTCTTTAGGTTCGGGGGCAGTTGTTAAAAGCACATTTTGTACAGAAAGGAAAAGACACGTGTTCTTTTTCTTATTTGGGTTTTGAAATATTTAAAATAGGAATTGTAAGAGTTTTTTTCTTGTAAATAATGGCAGTGACTCCTTAGCAGACATGCCTTTGTGTATCCAACAGAACAACCATTCTTTTAACTCATAATGTTCTTTTAATGTTATAAATGAATCTTGTATATAATGGAAAACTACTGAGAAAAAAAGGGTAAATTGTTGCTTTCAACTGTGCTATTTAGCTGGGTTGTAATTTAAAAACTCTTAAGTTGATATATTGAAAATGTGATAAACAAACTTTTAAGAGTCAGTGTGATGAATATTTTCCTATGATATACGTGTGATATTTTAGCCGATCACTCAACCTAAGAGTCACCTTGATGCAGCTGTGGTTGCTGTTTCCAAAGTTGCACATTAGCCGGCTAGCAGCTAACTTTGTTCACCTGCTGTTTGGCACTTTTTGCCTAAAAGAACGAGCTGTAGGTTCACAGGTAGTTGGTGGGCTAGCCAGCAATGCATATATACTTAATTCATCCTCTCAGGTGTCCCGTAGCTCAGACAGATAATTAAAATTGTTATATTAAACAATATAAATGAATATAAAAATCTAACAGCTGTAGGAACAAATTCTCTTCCAAAGGTAACTGCCATTTTTACTTCTAAAATATTAGGGAGTGGGTAAATATTATTGTCAAATTTGCTCATGACAGTTTCCTCACAAAGTCGATGTGCAGCTTTACAACAACAACAACCCCCAAAGGCTAAAAACACAATTCATCTACAGACCTGGTAGTTGACTGTGGTTTTGGCCCTATATGTGACTTTTTGTTTTATGTAACCTCACCCATGTATTATGAAAGGGAATTTTATATTTATTTTGAGCTGTATTTATCATAAATTGTACAGCTTTTTTTTTTGAGGTTTTAAACTTGAGCAGGGCTATCCAACTCGACCAATGACACGAAAGTCTGCAACGATCACCCGTTATTACGTACACATGAGATTTTTCTGAATTGTTTTTTGTTCCAGTGCAGATGAACAGCGCGTCTCAAGAGCCACACGGCACAATTTGAGTTGAACTTGAATGTAAGAAATCGTTTGAGAGGTGAATGTAGCTGTGTCCATGCACAATCAAAGATCATTAAATGTGTGTAATTTACTGTTAAAGTTACTGATAAATGTTATAAAGAAGATTCTATGAGCAATTCAAAACTGTAGATAATTTCAGCCTCGGCACAAAAGCCTCACAGAACAGAAACAACAAAAGGTGTGTAAAGTTTGATTTATTTTGTGATCTCTTATTTATGGGATGTACTGTTTGTAATTTTGAACTGACAATAAACCATGTTTGCCACGATGTGCTGCTGCTGCTGGTTGTGAGTTCACAGAAAAGACAGGTGAAAAAAATCCACAAGATCTGACACGAGTGTGTGCGGCGTGCACAGACTGCCAACAGAAACAGCTTCAGCATCAGATTTGGGTGTGTGTTCATGTGCGCACAATCCACAAACATCAGGAAATAAAGCAGAGTAAACATATATTGGTCTATTAACAGTGGTTAAATAATCTGGCACTAAGGTTAAATTTACACTGGCACACAAGTGGCACATTTTATGACTTGGGAATGAGTACATGGTGCATCTATTTCCTTTTAGTTTGCTTTGTGTGACGGAAAATAAGCTGTTTGCAGTTTTGATGTTCCAAGTAACAGGCTGTTCTCTCAAGTCTTATGTGGTTAATGAGATCATAAAGCAAAGAAGACACACAAATGAGCCCTTAAGGGTTTATATGTACAAGAAGCTGAATAGTTTTAAAGGAAAATATCAACAGCCAACAGTTTCTCAACCTTGAAAACAGAGCGATTCTGGACTGATGCCAAAGCTCAATTTGTCTACATGAGAAGTTACAGCTAAGAACATGGATAAATCTGCAACGTGCAACAAACACATTTCTCTTTTTTTTGGTGTCTTACTGTTACACTGCTGACATACAGTGCTAAGTCATTTAATTAAGCTTTATTTATACAGTGCCAAATGACAACAACCGTTCCCTGAAGGTGCTTTATACTACTGTAAAGACCCTAAAACCTACAACAATACAAAGACTCCCTATGGGCAAGCAGTTGGCAACAGTGGGAAGGAAAAGCTCCCAGGTTCTGACAGGAGGAGCCAACACCCATGTACCATACACATCTACATTATTTTTAATGACCAGCAGGGGGCAATCTGCCTGGCTACACAACAACTTTACATCTGTCAAGAACTGCTTACTCTGTGACTTAAATAAACACTATGGGCTCAGGCAGTAGTTTAAAATTAATAATGAAAAAGGTAGTAAATTTTCACAATTCTGGGCATTTTTAAAAAGGAGGATTATCTAAGATATTTATGTCATTTTCACAGTTAAAAACGAGTTAGACTTTTCTTATCTCCAAATTTCTTTGTTACGGACAACAATGAAAACTCTTCACTCAAGGCTTCATCATGGGGGCTCACCAACCATCGGGTGATGTCACAGTGACCAGTGTTACCATTAGCATATTAGTAAAGCCAAGATCAGTAGCTTCAAGTGTGATAAACTTCAAGTGCTGAAATCAAGTATAAAAAACTAAGTTTCTGTTGTTGTAAAGTAATTTAATTTTGTGCATTTTAGCTTGTACAAACATATGGCTTAGGTATGGCTTGTTTAAGGCAGTCAGGCTGTTCCGATTCTAAATCTAACAGTCTGAGAAAAAGTTGCTAAAGCTCATTATATCAGATTAGATGTATTACTATGACTAAATTGTGAAATTTTCCTTTTTTCAAATTTTGCTGGTAGCCTTTGCAGAAGGGGTCTGTGCCACTGTTTACTGTATAAATTCAGCATTAGTTTAACCAGAGAAACAGAGAACAAGTTTAACAGTCGTTTTGGTAAAAGGCCACATACTGTTGATTGAATCCACAAACAGATAAGTACAAAGACTGTAGAAAATTCCTGCGTAAACAGGCACAGATTAAAACACCAAAGTGCACAGTAATAAAAGCAGAAAAAACACAATAGGGTGACAGAGAACAGCGTCCTTTTACGTCCTTGTACGACTAACAAATCTTACAGAAATGAACGTTGACTTGTTGGCCAAGTGCACCCTTATGAGTAAGTGGAGACGGTTTGTAGATGGCTTGTTCTGGATGTTACATCAAGGTGATAAAAAGAGATACAAATACTGTTTATCAAAAAAAACGCACACAGGCTGCCGGGCAGCCAGCCAGTGATGTCCTTATGAACAGCGATGGTAGTGCACATTCACAAGAAATATTTACGCACACAAAATATACATTCGATCAAAAAATTTTTTAAAGACTACAAAAATCTTGACAAGAGAAACTTTACCTCACAACAGCGCTTTCTGTTTTGTTTTTTTATGTTTTTTTTTTTTCCAATCTTTGGGTGATGAATATCCACTAAGGTTTAGCCTCAGTCAGTTCTGTCACTCTCAAGCTGTTTCCGTGACAACTCTATCAGGGATGACGTAGGTTGTTGGCTCCACCGATGGACCTGGACCTGCATCCCTATTATCCAGTGACAGGTGCTCCGCAGAAATGTAACTGTGAGGGAAATTATTACAGTTATTTTCCAGAGGAAGGGAATGATTTGCTATTCTTAAGCACTCTGGACATGGAATAAAGTCAAAGTTCATTTTGGGAAGTTTGAGTACTGTGCACAAGTCTTGAGATACCCCTCGTTTTTTTAGACTTTTGCTACAAAAAAATGGAAATAGAAATAGACACATGGAAAGTATAAGTTCAGTTCTAACAAGCTTGAAAATCAATAGTTGTTATGAGCAACTTTATTCCTCATTTGAGAATCACCTTTTTGTTTTAAAAATGCTATTTTATTCCTATCACACTGTTTTATCTTTGGCATTTTTTACAGTTTCAACTGCTCTTTGGATATAAATACACTATATTCCCAATAGTATTCACTCACCACTCAAAATCACTGAATTTAGGTGTTCTAATTACTTCCATGGCCACAGGTGTATAAAACCATGCTTAGGGGCATGCAGACTGTTTCTGCAAACATTTGTGAAAGAATGGGTCGTTCTCGGGAGCGCAGTGAATTCCAATGGTGAAATTTCCTCCCAACTAAATAATCCACAATCAACTGTTAGTGGTGTAATAATAATAATAATAAAAAAAGGAAGCTATTGGGAATGACAGCAACTCAGCCATTTGTGGTAGGCAGCCATGCAAAATCGGATGATCTGATATCCTCGTGTTGGTGTTGTTCCCAGACCATCATGAAAATGTTGTTCCAGGTTCAACATTGCAAGTGACCAATCACATTGTTGTGACGTTATTCCTTTGCGCGCCAAGCCATTCGTGCATTTATGAAATTCCAATGTTGCAAGGACAATATCAATTCTGCTTACTGTTTATTAAAGGGTTACGGTTAGGGTTAGGGTCAGGGTCCTTTGATCGGCGGACAGAGGCGGTTTCACGCAGCTTAAGTACAGTTTTTTGTTTTACGCCGGTTTTTCCCGAAGTCGCAAAAGTATGACGTCACAACATTCTGATTGGTCACTTGCAATGTTGATCCTGGAACAACATTTAGTATGATGATCTGGCCTTGGAAACTGCCAAGCAAAGACTCACAGCCTTGGCCAGCCGCTTGAGGAGGTACACCAGAGAGATAGAAGGCAGGAGAATAAACCAGCTGTTCTCCACAGAACCAGCAAAGGTGTACTCTCAGTGGCAAGGGAACAATAAGAGAACAGCACCACCAAGGCTGGAGACGGAGCAATACTGGAAGAGCATATGGGAGAAGGACGCAACCCATAACGGCAATGCTCAGTGGCTAGAGGATCTGAGGGCAGACCACAGCGACCTCCCTGAACAGGGTCCAGTAACCATCACAGTGGCAGATATCCAAGAAAGGGTCTCCAGTATGAAGAGTTGGACAGCACCAGGGCCCGACATGGTTCACGCCTACTGGCTGAAGAAGCTGACTGCACTCCACGAGCATCTGGCAGCACAAATGAACCAGCTGCTAGTTAACGAGAGACACCCGGAATGGCTAACTGAAGGCCGGACGGTCCTGATCCCCAAGGACCCCAAGAAGGGACCGGTCCCCTCCAACTACCGACCAATAACCTGCCTCAGTACTACATGGAAGCTCCTGTCAGGCATCATATCGGCTAAGATGAACAGGCACATGGGTCAATACATGAGCGGGACACAGAAAGGAATTGGCAAGAATACCAGAGGTGCAAAACACCAGCTACTGGTAGACAGAACAATCAGCCGAGACTGCAAGACCAGACTGACCAACCTGTGCACTGCCTGGATTGATTACAAGAAGGCCTATGACTCAATGCCCCACAGCTGGATACTGGAATGCCTAGAATTGTACAAGATCAATGGGACCCTAAGAGCCTTCATCAGGAACTCAATGGGGATGTGGCGTACAACACTAGAGGCCAACTCCAAGCCCATAGCACAAGTCACCATCAAGTGCGGGATCTACCAAGGAGATGCTCTGTCCCCACTGCTGTTCTGCATAGGCCTGAACCCCCTCAGTGAGATCATTAACAAGACTGGCTACGGATACCGACTACGGAACGGAGCAGTTGTCAGCCACCTCCTGTACATGGATGACATCAAGCTGTATGCCAAGAGTGAACGAGACATCGATTCACTGATCCACACTACCAGGCTATACAGCAATGACATTGGAATGTCGTTCGGACTGGAGAAGTGTAGTCGGATGGTAACAAAGAGAGGGAAGGTAGTCAGAACTGAGGGGATTGAACTACCAGAAGGCAACATTGCAGACATAGAGGACAGTTACAAGTACTTGGGGATCCCACAAGCGAATGGGAACCATGAAGAGGCCGCTAGAAAAGCTGCAACCACCAAGTACCTGCAGAGGGTCAGGCAAGTCCTGAGGAGTCAGCTGAATGGTAAGAACAAGATCCGGGCCATCAACATGTACGCCCTGCCCGTGATCAGGTACCCTGCTGGGGTAATAGGCTGGCCAAAGGAGGAGATAGAAGCCACTGACATAAAGACAAGAAAGCTCCTTACCATGCATGGAGGGTTTCACCCCAAATCCAACACCCTGAGGCTGTACGCTAAGCGGAAGGAAGGGGGCCGGGGACTGGTGAGTGTCAGCACCACAGTCCAGGATGAGACAACGAACATCCAAGAATACATTGGGAAGATGGCCCCAACTGACCGAGTGCTCAGTGAATACCTCAGGCAGCAGAAACCCAAGAAAGAGGAGGGAGACGAGGAACCATCATGGAAGGACAGGCCCCTGCACGGTATGTACCACCGGCAGATAGAGGAGGTGGCTGATATCCAGAAATCCTACCAGTGGCTGGACAAAGCTGGACTGAAAGACAGCACAGAAGCACTAATCATGGCAGCACAAGAACAAGCTCTGAGCACAAGATCCATAGAGGCTGGGGTCTATCACACCAGGCAAGACCCCAGGTGCAGGCTGTGTAAAGATGCCCCAGAGACAATCCAGCACATAACAGCAGGGTGCAAGATGCTAGCAGGCAAGGCATACATGGAACGCCATAACCAAGTGGCCGGCATAGTGTACAGGAACATCTGTGCCGAGTATAACCTGGAAGTCCCGAGGTCAAAATGGGAGATGCCCCCAAGGGTGGTGGAGAATGACCGAGCTAAGATCCTGTGGGACTTCCAGATACAGACGGACAAAATGGTGGTGGCTAACCAACCGGACATAGTGGTGGTAGACAAACAGAAGAAGACGGCCGTAGTGATCGATGTAGCGGTTCCGAATGACAGCAATATCAGGAAGAAGGAACACGAGAAGCTGGAGAAATACCAAGGGCTCAGAGAAGAGCTCGAGAGGATGTGGAGGGTGAAGGTAACGGTGGTCCCCGTGGTAATCGGAGCACTAGGTGCGGTGACTCCCAAGCTAGGCGAGTGGCTCCAGCAGATCCCAGGAACAACATCGGAGATCTCTGTCCTGGGGCCCGTTCTTCGTACGTCGCTTACTACATCCAAGATCAAATGACACGTCCAAGATCAAATCATCGCGCTAACCGTGAGCTCGCTAATCCGGTTCCCCGAACACACCTGCTGTTGACGATTACTACAGCTGGACGCAGGAATGTGACATCACTGGGTGTCGTAAAAGGGGCTACGCATCGATAGTAGAAACATTGATCGGCAACCCGCTGATTGGTCGGCGAAAATGTCGAAGGGGCGTGCTCGGTATTTTCCGGCAGCAGAGCAAGAACTCATGAGTGAGGGATTTCAGGAGTTTCAGAGTTTAATTAAAACGCAAGAGAACACTGCAAAGGCTGCAAAAGCAAGGAGAGAGGGCTGGCAGAAAGTTGCTGACAAATCAAACTCGTAGGTAATTTAATAATAATAATAATAATGGATTGGATTTATATAGCGCTTTCCAAGGCACCCAAAGCGCTTTACGATACCACTATTCATTCACTCCCACATTCACACACTGGTGGAGGCAGCTACGGTTGTAGCCAGGCTGCCATATCGCGCCATCGGCCCCTCTGGCCAACACCAGTAGGCGGTAGGGTAGATCTATCATATGACACTATATTGTCCAATATCATATGGCATTATATTATATTATAATATGTTATATTATATCCCCTTTCACATTAGAGCCACAACAGGACCCACAAGAAAATGGGAACAAGTAAAAGTGGAATACAGGAGTATTCTACAGAATGGTAATATTTATCTCTTAGATTGCTTTGCGTCTCTTGGCAAGGTAATACTGGCCTGTAATACTCTGTTAGTTTGTTCATAACAGCAACCAAGAAAAGGGCAGAGGAAAAAAAGACAGGTGGTGGTCCTGCACCCCCTCGTCAACAAGTTGGTTAAGTAAATAATACCCTCACGGGAATATCGATATCTCTCTATGAGCACACTGTCGCGCTGAGGTAAAGGATCCTGTCTGTCCCGCAATATACGCTGAATTCTGAGGACTCTCCTTATCAATCTTGCACCTTCCGCAATGGGTTGGTCGCGTATACGGACAGGACATGGCTGCGACAGGCTTCCCAAATCCACCTTCACTTTTATAGCCGTGGTCTCTCATCTTGATTACACGAAGTAATTTACAATTACTACTCTGAAATATGAATTACATCTGTAATAATCACATACATGTAATAGAATGTTAATAGTTCATTTCCCTTTTTTAGGAAATGACCTGTATGTATCTGTGTGACATCAATAAAAGGATCAGGTGCTGCATTACCTTTAGTTACATTGATAATATTTATTTATGGTGAAACAGTGGAAAAATATCGCTGTTGCTTTCGTATAAATGAAGCGGACATACCTGCGTGGCCGCGATCTAATCCTGTTTACATAAAGTAAACCTGCTCCCGAGCAGGTTTACGCTTACGGCTCTGTTGCTATGACAGCAAGTCCCGGATGAGCTTCGGGGAACCGACTGATCCAGGATCACGCGAAATCGTCAACAATCTAATCCGGCTAACCTACTTAGCGAGGTACGAAGAACGGGCCCCAGAAGAGCGCAGTCCTGGGAACAGCTAAGATACTGCGCAGGACCCTCAAGCTCCCAGGCCTCTGGTAGAGGACCCGAGCTTGAAGGATAAACCGCCCGCAGGGGCGTGCTGGGTGTTTTTTTTTTTTATATATATACATATATACATATATATATACATATATATATATACACATATATATATATATTGTTATTATAACTTGTAGGCTTTTGTGTAACACTTGTGGGTCAAGCTGACTTGCCTTTCATTTTTCTTTTTCCTTCTGTCCATCATTACTGTGCTTCTTTCCTTTATTGCTGCATTTTTTCCTTTCTGTCTTCCTTCATCTCTTTCTCGACTTTTACCTTTTTCCTCATCTACCTTCCTTTTCTTCTCATTTGCCTCCTATCTTCCCTTTTTCTTGTCTTCTACTCATCCACCATCCCCCTGCCAGTAGCTTCTACCTACATTGTTTTGTTTTTTCCTTTTTCCTTCAGTTTATCCTCCCTTCTTATCCTCTGTTCCATCACCTTTCTTTGTTTCTAAACTTAACACGTCTGCTTTAAGTGCAGTAACAGAACTTACTCGTTGCTGTCCAAGTGAGACCCCGCTAAATTCTGTGATGGAGATGTAGACTGAAGGGTGAGCAGATGTCCGTCCAGGACCGGGACTTCCGCTGGAGGCACAGTGGTATTGTCAGCAGCTGTAGCCATCTGGTCCAGGCCTGGCTGCAGGTCAGATGGCGGTGGGGGGAACTGTTGCTGTTCAGAGTAAGTGTCAGAGCCAGGCGAGGATGATGATGTTTGACTGCTGCTGCTGGCTGTGTTGGCATCCAGCATCTCCAGGAGGAGGTCGTACACCAGCACCGCATTCTTCCTCTTCATGGAGGACAGGTGGTCGATGCCTTTGTTACTGTAATGAGAGGGAACGTGACCATGAGCCCAAAAGAAAAGAAGAAAGGGAATTAAACAACTAAGGACCAGATCGCTCAAAGAAATGAAAAGCAGTTAAACTGTTAATATCTCAAATGAAACCTGATGTATATGGAACTCCAAAGTGTTCAAAATAAAATAAATAAATAGGACACGATGAAATAATGGAACTAGAGATGGACCGATCCGATATTACGTATCGGTATCGGTCCGATACTGACCTAAATTACTGGATCGGATATCGGAGAAAAATAAAAAATGTAATCCAATCCATTAAATATCACGAAAGCACCTCACAAACTTGCAACACGCCGTAACTCACCTCAGAACGTTAGCACGTCGGAGCAGTATGCATCACGTGATAGAGCGGCTGTGGCATGCGGGACCTGTCAGTGGTCTGGATAGCATTTGGAGCTTCACTAGCAACCCGGCATTTCATCTCCGACAAAGTTATCCCCGAGAGAAGTAAAGCAAGTGTGTAAGTCCATCTCTGAATGTTTGTAAAGCATTCCTGCGTTAAGCTTAACAAACGACTGCCTCTTCTTGCTGCTACTTCAATCATGAAACTGCTTAATGATCAGCTGATCGGCTTTTCTGTCGCGAGTCCGTCTCTCTGGTTTGTTTTTGGCCCACTTTGCACCAGAAAGAGGAAACCAGTGGCTGAACAACAGCAGCACGTTTAAGCTTGATAAGCTGTTGTTAGAATTTATTTAATATTACTTCCTACTCAAGGATCTTTTTCTTCGTAGCTGACGGCTGGTAACTGTGCAGGGGCGGATCTAGCAAAGTTTAGCCAGGGGGGCCGATAGGGCATTAACAGGGAAAGGGGGCACAAAGACATACTTTTCTTTCTTATTCTCATTTAAAATGTCGAGCTTTTAATAAATAATTATCTGACACCCAAAGTTTTAATTTGATGTAAAATGAATAGAAGTCAATTACTGTATATAGTGACTATTAAGTCTAATATATATACCCTAGTAAGCTATAGTACTTTTTCCTTTGGGAAGGTACCATCTGTGCAGTCTGCAATTTTGTTGAAGAAAGATGTTGAATCTATTTAATATTTCTTGAAAAATAATTGATTTCTGTGCATTTTTTTTCACACTGCATCAAATTAAGGTTGATTACGTCGATTAAGCATCATGAGGTGGAGCGTGAGGGGTGGTTCCCCATTTTTTATTTATTTATTTTTGTTGTTGCTGGGAGTTGGAACCCTATTAGTTAGGTTGCTTAATATTTACGCTAAGTACTCTTTAAAATACCAGAATAGGAGGATGGTGTAGGTTGAAGTTTATTAGATTGATCAGTATTGCTGAACTATGAAATATATTTTTTTGCATACAGGTATAACAGAATAGCTTTAGTGTAGTTGTTGTTTTAAACTTGAGTATGAACTTATACAAAATGCAGCAAGATATTTTTGTTGATTAAAAAACACTATATCGGATTCATATCGGTATCGGCAGATATCCAAATTTATGATATCGGAATCGGTATCGGACATAAAAAAGTGGTATCGTGCCATCTCTAAATGGAACACATTTTGAAAAAAAAGCTCATTATTGTGAAATATATTGCATTCTGCTATATAAATTTACTTATTATTGTGAAATATTATTTCATGGTCATTATTTATCACAATAACAGAGATTATTCCTGAGGCATTTTATTTATTCCCAACCAGTTTTATTCCAAAATGTCCTTTTTTCAAAGTCAGTCTTTATTTCAAAATCCCGTTTTTCCCAATGGCCTATTTATTTCATAATGCGACTTTTCAGCAGAATGACTTTGTCTGTCAATCAGTGTGAGTGGCCTTTGCACCTATTGGCTGATCGTTTACTATCGACTAGTTTTCCTGGATACCTGCTCCGCGGACGGCTGCTACAGGTAGCAAAAACGTGCTAGGTCAAAAGTCGGGGAGGATGGCTATGGGCTCCAAATGTGGTCATAAATATTTTGTACTTGTAAAAAAGATTTGTATGTGTAAAAAATATTTGTGTGTGCGTAAAAAAGATTTGCATGTGTAAAAAAGATTTGTGTGCGCGTAAAAAAGATTTGTGTGTGGACTTAGCCCAAAAAAACCCTGCAAGTTACAAGTACGAATTTTGACCCTATTTTTCTTCCTTTCATCTGATTGGTCAATGTCATGTCAATCACAAATGTAACAATCCAATCAGCTGTCGGAGGGGCGCTTTTTTGAACTGCAGGTCTTTGAAGGGAATAAATGCCCGTTTTCATGCCAACCCAGCGTTTTCCTTCATCACCACGAAGGAAAACAGTCTGTGGTCGTCCGAGTTTGGTGATTTTTGTGTCACCGGTCTACGTGTTTAATATAGGGACTTCCCCAGCCTTTTCAACAGCGCTGCGGACCACGGGGTGGGGGCGGGCAGTGTTTTGGAAATGACAGTCTTCATTACAAAGCTTTATTTGTTATGAATTAGCATACACGTTTTTATTGAACATTTGAAGAACCAGCAAAAAAAAAACAGAAACTCTTGTAGAGGACATAAAGTCAGAGATAGAAAAGACAAGGAGCAGGTGCATCTAGTACAGGTAGAGCTGCTGCAAAAACCCACAGAGCCCAGCAGCCAGCGAAACAAATTCTGGATCCTTTGCTTTTAGTTAGCAGTTAGCATTAGCAGCACATCCTGCGTCCCATGTGAATGGACTTTTATGCTGCGCACTGTGACTCACAGCAATGGTCCTGGGTCAGCCCTGACTTTGTGTTAAACTAATCCTAAAGTAATAATGGTATTTCTAACCACTGATATAGCACAACTTTATCCTTTCAACAGCTGCTGAAAGTTAGGGGACCTAACTGCTATCGGATATTTATATAGAGATCCTCCAGCTTCAAACTGTATCACCCTTCAAGGACCTGCAGTTCAAAAAAGCGCCCCTCCGACAGCCAAACCCATCTGTTCTCTGATTGGATTGTTACATTTGTGATTGACATGACATTGACCAATCAGATGAAAGGAAGGAAAATAGGGTCAAAATTCGTACTTGTAACTTGCAGGGTTTTTTTGGGCTAAGTCCACACACAAATCTTTTTTACACATACAAATCTTTTTTACGCACACACAAATTCTATTAAAACATTCAAATCTTTTTTACACATACAAATCTTTTTAACAAGTACAAAATATTTATGACCACATTTTGAGCCCATAGATGGCGGTCTGGTGTGAACTTCAGTCAATTCTGCTCATTTTAGGAGATCAGATAGAGAGGGATCATTTACCTGTAGATACTGTTTTGAGTCGTTTAGATGATGTTTCTGAAATGCTTGGGATTATAATTGCTCTTCAAGATGTTAGCATCGATGACAGCATTGTCGAAAGGAATGTCTGAAGTAAGTTTATGCTGTAATTTAACACCTGTGTGAGTCTGTACACAGCATTATTTAGATATTGACCTTAATTATGACGTTTGATATTGAAATATTATCGCTTACTTTTTTATTGTGAATGTCTAAAATAAGTGGGGCAGCTACGGCTAAAGCTATCGGCGCCATCTCGTTGTTGAGACACGTTTAGCCGGCGCAGTGTTAGCTGTTAGAGTGTGTTAACTCGGAGACTGGGGGCAGTGGAACCTGTAGGAACCTTTTACACAGAGTAGACCCACCAGCTTTCCACAGTCTACTTACTTATCACATCTTGGTAGACAGCAGGGTCATTAGTGCTTTAAATAGTACATAGTTGAATGTTTCATTGCTGTTTGCAGCTAATTGTTCTCTGATAACACATAACAAAGTTGATGTTAAATAGCAAGTTTATTGAAATGGTTTTGTCTATTACAGCAGCATTTTAAATATCATACTTTCTCTGGTGTCTTCAGTAAAGCTAAAACAAGAATACATTGTTTTGTTGAGACTTGCTGTTATACTAAAAAAAAAAAATTATGTGCAGAAAATCTGATAGGTATTCTTCTATTGGGAATGAGGACTTGGATGCAAAAGTGCTGGACATTCAGCGTCATCACCCAAATGCCGGCTGCAGAATGATGATGGGACATCTACGATCCAGAGGCATACACATTCAAAGTAAGCTGATATTGTTTGAATATCCAAACACCCAGAAAGCATGTGTCAGTGTAGCCATGATGTGATATTATAATGTACGCATCAAAAATGACTAGGCATGTTCGTATCACTGTTATGCAGTTATGTTCTTGTTTGAACCAGTTTGTACACGATTCTCTCTCCTCAGTAAATCTGTACAGCACCTGGATACTTACCTGAAGCAATGAAGATCTGTCTCATAAGCATTACAGTGTTTACAATACAGTCTTTTTGTAGTTGTTAGTACTAAGACATGATCTGTTTGTTAATCAGGATTTCGACTGATGGATTCAATGAGACGAGTCAATCCAGAAGGGGTCATGATGCCACGGTTATCTATTTAGACTGCAAGGCATCGTCAGTACAGTGTACCAGCACTAAATCACCTTTGGCATATCGATGGAAATCATAAACTAATTTGGTCAGTGCTTGCATCACCTTTTCCCAATTCCATTGAAGTAACAGGATGCATGTATAAAATTGTAAAATGAAGCCTTGAATTTGTAAATGTCATCTTAAATGCTGTCATATAAGGCCATTTACAGGATTTGCTATAGTCATGTCTGAGGCTTTACATTATGCATGTGATTCCTTGCACTACAGATCTTTCTGTAAAGTGTTTAAGTTTCCCTTCTATTATTTCTTTTACATTCCTGTTATAACATGTTGTCACTTTATATGGAACTGAAATATTGGTCTTGCTTGTATGTAACTGGGGACATGACAATGTTTTTTCTTGTTTTGTTTTTTTTAATTCTGCCTTGTCAGATGGAGATTTGTTGTCCATGGTGGGATAGATGGTTTTTCGAGGTTAATTGTCTACCTTAAAGCTGCCACCAACAACAAAGTTACAACAGTTTTTGATGGTTTCTTGTCAGCAATCAGACAATATGGCATACCGTCCGGTAAGAGGTGTTTAACAAATACAGTATGCCAAAAAACTCTGTATTGGACAGTAGTTATATTCAGATTGTTACTCTCACTGACTCGGATCAAAACTTCTCTACTTTTTTTCCAGGTCAGACAAAGGAGGGGAAAATGTGAAGGTTGCACATTTCATGGTGCAGACAATGGGGGAGAACAGGAACTCTCACACCAGCAGTAAGGACAAGTAAATTGATGGCCTGTCTTACATTGTTTTCACACATGCAACTGTAATAAAACAAATGGTTTCTGAACATAATTGACTGGTTTCACAGCACATTAACACTACACTAATAATTGACTTGGAAGGCTGTTGACGTAGGAATGCCTGAAAAACCATAAATGAACAACTTCCCTCACTGTGTCTTATAGCATTGAGCGCCTGTGGAGGGATGTATATGAAAACGTCCTTGACCTTTTCTACACAATCTTCACCCAGCTGGAGATTCAAGGACTGCTCAACCCTGGTGAAGAAATTGACTTGTTTGCACTGCACAGATGCTTTTTGCATCACATTCAACATCATCTTCAGTCATTCCAGGAAGCATGGAATCAGCACGGACTCAGAACAGCAAACAACCATTCACCTCTGCAACTCTGGTTGCTGCACAGAAAGGAGGGACAAGATTTGTCACAGGTACATGACTATTTGATCCGTATTTGTTCTTCTATGTAAAACTCTACTATCTGTAGTTGAGATGAGTTTATTTCTACTGTTCGAGTTGGTGTACCAAATATTTCTCCTGTAAGTGAAAATGTCTTTCAAGCCATTCTCTCCTTTTATTCAATCTGTCAGGTATAGATGGCAATACTTTAAACAAAGTTAAATTTGTTATACCTGAAGAGAACCAATCCTGACCTAGAATGGGTGAATGAATAATTATGCCTAAGAAACTCACATAGGCCCTGACAGACTCAATAAGTCCATCTAGGAACAGCTGCAGGAATCACCTCTTCAGTTTAGATTTAAAACATGTGCATGGTCTTTCAGGTTGATGAGGATTATGGTGTGGACTGGACAGGACCACATAATCACCGCCCATCAAATGAGATCACCATTCCTGAGATTCAGCTCCCACGTGCACTGAGTGAACGAGAGCTTGCTGTGCTACCAAACAACAGGGTTTCACTCAGTCAAGCTTTGGATACCTACTGTGAAACTGTTCAGTCACTCAAACTTATGTTTGATACCACACCTTAAGTCTTCAAAGTAAGCAGGTGCAATATGTTCACACCCCTTTTTTAAGTTTCTACATCTATGGCTTTGTAGCTAATACTGACTCAAAACAGCATAACCGATTTCATTTTCAACAAAACAGTGAGTGGCTATAAAACAGGATTTATTTTACACAGCTGTCACTTTAATAATAATAAAAATAAGTGACAATAAAATAAGTGATTTGATTTGATATTCATTTCTTGGATGTACAGTACATGTCAACTGAGCAGATTTAATACAATGCACACGGTAAAGTAGTATAACATCTTAATGCAAATAAGTTTTCCAGTAGCGAGAATAAAATAAACATACTGTGTAATTTATAATATAATATATATTATAAATATATAATAATATAATTTTGTTTTCTGAACTCTTTTTAATATAAACTGACAAAAAGCAATAAATGCTCACCTGTACTGTGTATTTTACACTGTCAAGTGTATTAAAGGAACTAGAACTCACTAGATTGTCCGTTTCTTTGAACACCGAGTACAGTAATGTGATGCAAGAAAGAAAAATGGTCTAATCTTACCATGTGGTTATGGAATCAATCCTAAACCAGACCAAAACCTGAGTCAGTAGAGTTGAGACACACCTGAATGTCCATTAGAAATGACTCATAGGTACAGTAGTGTGCAGGAAGACGTAGTACTTCAAAACAGGTGGAAGACTACTGTTGACCACTTCCACAGTCATTTCTCTCGGCAAGACTTCCCATCCTGTCCAAAACTTGATGAGGGCTTTTCGTTGTGCACAAGACGCTGCAACAGAAGATTGTTTTAAACTATAATGACATCCTATATTCATTATTTTGAGTCTTTTATGGAGAAATACCATAAAAGATGAACAATTACATAAAGAGCACAAGACATTTTTGCCCCACTCAAATTGCTGTTGTAGCTGTCATAGATAATTTTTTTGGTAACAAAGCTAAAAGTAGTTATATACAATTATAATGCAACTGATAATGCCACCACTCTGTTTTTTATGTATTGCATGGAGGCAGTATGGAGCAAATAAGAAAACTAAATTATACTATAGTGTACTTTGTTAATGACCCGAGATCACTGGACTGTATGTAATTTACCAAAGTATAATCAGAGAAAACCAATAGCAAAATACCTATCGCAGCAGACTTACCATTTTCAATGAAGGACCAAAGGTAGCCTGCCACTCTGCATTTATCCTCAAGAGAGCATTCCTCTTCCTCCTCATCTTCATCTTCTGTGGCAGGCCACACTATCCTTTCTAGAATAGACTGCATAAAATAGTTCACCTTGGTTAATTTTTTCTCTGAAATGCAACAAGATAAAATAAGCTTAATTTATCATTTTATATCTTTACTTATCTTGTAGTCTTAAGAGCGTCAGCAACATTAGGTGTATTTTTATTAAATGTAACCCAGCTGTTCGACTAGCCCAAGCATACAAAATAGTATATTGATGTTTTGTGTCAACAATTAATGTTCATCCTTCATAAATTAACCAAATACCTTTACTGTTCAGATGTTAAAAGATGTGACCTGACTTTACCTCAACAGGGAGCAGTCTCTGAGTCCCTTGGTAAGAAAAGAGGAATGATGTCTGATCTTTCTGTCAGAAGCGGCCATACCATGGTCTCCTGAAGCCCTTTCCTCAGCTGCTTGACTTGACGGCTTGTTCGTGTTATGACCTACAACAGTGAGACCAAACCAAAACTGAAGTGTGAGTCCGTAAAGTAAAAAACACTTTAAATGTTAAATACTTAAAGAACATCCACTGTACTGATAAAGCATTTCAAATTGCAGGACTTATACCAGACACACACGGTCCACCATGAATGAATGAATGTCCCATTATTCTTCCTAAGATCAAACATAATAAATTCACTAAGCCTAACATTGCATGGGGGTAAAGACAAACAGTTTTGTAACTGTATTCAATCTATTTTTCATCTTTATGGTTACAGTTAGGATAATGTAACACAAGTAATAATTTTTCCTTTAGTGCTGCACATGTATTATTTTAAATTACTATTCCTCTTATTTCTGTACATAACTTTCTTACCTGCCACCAAAAACATGTCACTCTCAAGCAAGGTCTGAGAAGTGGATGGAGTCAAGTGTTCTGGCTCACCGTCAAACAGTCTTGTAAGATCTGTGTTCCTTGAAAAGAGTACATCTAGGTTATGGTGAGTATGAGAAATCCAGGCAGTAATTTTAACACAATTAACTCATTTACATAACAAATACATTTTCTTTACATGATGAAATATTCTCTTATTTAATCCACTATACATGTGCCCAGTCTAGTTTCATACATACCAAAATTCAAATACAAACCAGACTGTACCAGAGAAACTGCCTTTGAGAAGAAGAATCTCTTCACCCCTTCTCCAACAGCAACATCCCCTAAAAGGAAGAAGAACAAAAAAACTTGTGAAGTTTCAGATTAGTCAGTCACTGGATTTCCAATGTTTTCACAATACAGAAACAATACCTTCCAGTTTGCAGCTGACAGGGCCTGCCCACTCTACCTTTGGAGCTTTGTAGAGGGAGATAAGTGATCTCTGTTGATCCACAATACTTTCCCGCAAGTCCATTTGCAGGACTACTGCCTTTCTGGTCTCATACTTTGAAAGTAACTCGGACTTATAGAGCCAGGCTGCTCTGGTTGCATCTTGTTCACATTTCCACTCTGAAAGGTACACATTTGCATGGATCACATGAATCAAAGGAAATAAAATATATGTATTTTTTGCCATTTATCTGGTATCTTCCTAACTTAATTCCTGTGACTACCTGGTTTTTCCCCTAGAAGTGACTTTTCTTCATCTTGATGAGATGCATCTTCCTGCACTACCACCATATCACCTGACGATTGCTCTGCTCTTGCTGAGGTTATGGTGGATTCCAAGATGATACTATCTGGTTCCTCTACCCCGCAGGACAGATTCCAGGCATCACTGTTGCTACAGGATGGGACCTCTGTATTATAGAAAACATTCTAAAAGCTTAGATTAATTGCTACTTAATTTGCAAGTATTATACCCGCTTACAAAATCACTACATTGAACTAGAATTGCTTTATTTTCATTCACATAGATTACTTGACTTCCATATTAGCAGAGAAAATAAGACACTTTAAAACGTCATGATTTAACTATTACCCGCAACAATGTAAACAGTGATACAGACATTAACCCAGAAGACGATTATCTTCTCTTACCTAATTTATTAAGTTCTTTGCTATGATAAAAACAGTATAAAAAAATTTGTGACTGAACTAATTAAAAAGCTCATTTTTGGCAGACAGACTAACCAAGCAGTAATAACATCGTTACTTACCCTGAACAGTGTTTCGTGGAGTGGAGCTAGCTGTGATAGCGTTAGCGTTTGCTAACGTTAACATTGTGCTGTTTTGATGAGAACTTGGACCAGGGACCGCTTCATCTCCAGTACGCTGCTGCAACACTCTCTCAGACTGAGGTGAAGTCGTACAATCTAAGCGGTTAGCAACTTCTCTGAGTAACTCAGAAACGGACTTGTCTCCTGCAGCCATGCCCTTCACAAGCACCTAAACGTTATTCGCGCCCAGTGTTTTACACTTGTTGGTGCCTTTACTTTATTTCGAGCCACTGCCGCCGTCTGCGTAGGAGACGCACTGCAGCATTAGGCTTAAATCGACACTTCATGTACTATCCAATTGTTCAGTCTGACGTCACTAGCCGTGTCCGAAAAACCCAGCACAGCATGCTAAGCCTCCCAGCAGACGCCTTTAACAGCCCCACTTCGCCAAAAAAACACACTTACGACCTAAACTCCGCTGCAGGTCCATATATCAAATGATCACTATGGCATTACTGAGAGTTGAAAAACTGTCTAAAGTCTTTCATCTTTAATAAAATGATCAGCGTTCTGTTCTACCAGGTGTAACAATTGAGTTTAACTAACAGGCATCCATGAAAACGGAATTTATGACATTTAACGGAGTTAGAAGTTAGCAGGGAGTTAGCTCGCTAGCTTCTATCTAAATACAATATAGCATGTCCTGACTGCGGGGTTTTGGAAACAAATTAAAACGTACAGCTCTGTTATCACTTCCAACATAAATGAAGACAGAAAACTAAACAGCAGTGACGTTTGTAGGGTTACTGAAGTTTGGCTAGCTGGTATATAATGGAGAAGGGTCTGGCTGCAGCCACTGCTCTTGTGGGATATAATGATGTGCTACGTGACCGCTATGACACAGCTATGTAGTTGTACATAGCTGCATAATATAAACAAGCTAACTTTTTTTCCCACTCGATAAAAGTTAACGTGAGTGTTCTCGGTGGTCAGGAACAAATGTAATCGCATGGCAGGATGCTGTAAAAGGACTAAACTTCAGCCAGGAGAACAACTGCGATAATCCATCCACAATACGAGGTTAGTCATTCATATACTGCTGCATGGGATGGGCTGTAGCTACATCCTAAGGTTTTAAAAACTGAGCTTAAATCAGTGTTGCCAACTCCTCAGTAAGGAAAATCGCTATTGGTTGTCCTAAAAGTCGCTAGAAGTCGCTAAATGACGTCATCGCCTAATTTGCATAATTGGTCATGCTAATCCAATTGTAACATATGTTGTTGGAGAGAGAAATAACATCGTGGAAGAGACATAAAGTGAGTAAAAACGTCCTAAATGCATTTAGAGTTTATTTAGAACTACAAATTAAATTTCTTTTAGCAATTATTGGTTTTTTTAATGTCACAATTCCAACCCTGCTCCTTTACCCGGGCTTGGACCAGTAAAAGTGACCCAAAATTGGCACTCTGGTGGAGTTACTTTGTGTGTGTGTTTATAAGTAGTTTTAAACCTTGTGATGGACAAAACAGCATAAGAGTAAAAGAAGAACTGACTGCATTACAGCACCCGCTGCTTGTTGAGAGTAAAAGCGATACGCGCTTTCATGTCTTTTTTTAGCGACTTATTTTAGAAAAAAAGTCGCTAAGGGGTCTGAAAACTCGCTAAATATAGCGACAAAGTCGCTAAGTTGGCAACACTGGCTTAAATAAATGATTAGCGGTAATAAAAGCCAAGGGAGGTCAACAGTGATCACTGACTGTTTTAGAAGCTTTTTGAGATAGGGTAAGTGACGGGTAAGGTAAGCGACCCATGTTGTAGGTGACGTCAGACGCCGGAGATTTGGCGGAAAAAAAGCGAATGGTAGCATAGAGTTTAATAAAGTTTTTTTCAAGCTTCAGTATTACCAAATATACTAATCAACTGTCATATAACTAACAACATCTGTCCTATCATCTCTAACACCCTGGAGGACAACGGGGAGAGTTTAGACGCTCTCCAAGGTTACATCGACCGCTGTTTTCAAGATTTAGTAATGAAGAAGGCCCAGAGTGCATCTTCCCCGGCCAAAATTGAGACACCGTCATCGAAGAGATGTCGCCCATCAGACTCTCCCGGTACAACATCGCCTGCCGGCAAAGACATCGCAGACATCCTGGAGTCAATCAACAAGCGATTGTCCAGTTTCGATGCGAGGCTGTCCCTGGTGGAGATTTTACACTGGGAATTTAAATCTCTGAGAGAATCCCTGGAATTCAGCCAGCAGCAGGTGGAAACGCTTGCCGCTGAAAATGCCACGCTACGGGAGTCGGTCAAATCTCTCACTGATAACGTGACCCAGCTAAACATTGAAAATAAAAAAATAAAAGAGTCCGTTATCGATCTACAAGCCTGTAGCATGAGAGATAATCTTGTGCTTTCTGGTATTCCAGAATCTGCCGGAGAGGACGCGGAGGCAACGGTGAAAAGCTTCATTAAAATCCACCTGAAGCTGCCGGAGGACACCGTAAAGAACATCGACTTCGATAGAGTGCATTGCTTGGGGGGCGTGAGGTCGCGGACCGGGAGACCACGACCTATTGTGGCCAAATTCGGTCAATTCAAACAGAAGGAACAGGTGAAGAGTCGCGGCAGAGAGCTGAAAGGAACGGACTTCAGCGTGAACGACCAGTTCCCCAAAGAGATCCTGGAACGACGCAAGGTCCTGTTCCCAGTTCGACGTAGCTTCATCCAGAAAGGCTCCCATGCTGTCATTGCCGTGGACCGGCTCTACGTGGACGGACAGCTCTACCACGACCCCGGCACCACACCGTGGTTATATTGACTGCACTCCAGATAAGGACCCGCTACACTCTTTTCTTATTCATTCACACTTTCTCCTTTAACATGGGTTTAACCTAGTAATATCAATATGATGTCATAGCAGATATAACACCGTCACCCTCTGTCATTACTTTAATTGGAATGTTTCCGTTTCGTTTCTTTTTTTTTGTTGTTGCTCACAGTTCATGTGGTTTCTTTCTTTCTCTTGTCTTTCACTGCTGTGATCACCTACTTCCCCACTCACCTACAAACAACACCCTCTATTTCTCCATATTTTCACACCACGATCACGCAAACACATCCGCTCAACGGCAGCACATTCACAACAGCCTCACAGCACGCACAGACTTGCAGGACACATAAGCAAGCCACGCATGTTCATATTAGTGAATATTCACACACATAGTCAGACTTACGGTGCCTCTCACCACACTTTTTTTTCTCTTTCTATTTACAAACAAGTGATGTTTCCACATTCTCTCCACCTGTCTAAACGAAACACCCAGCATACATCATTAGACATACACACGCAATTATGGGCATGCTGAGGTTTGTCACATGGAATGTAAATGGAGCTGGCTCCAGAGGAAAGAGGTTAAAGATATTTAACCAGCTTAAAAAACTACAGGCTGATGTTGTTTTATTACAAGAAACTCACAGACCTGTCACAGGTTTAAACGAACTTAAAACACCTGAGTTTCCTAACGTGTTTGCAGCCTGTTATAATTCTAGACAAAGGAGAGTAGCAATTTTAATACATAAAAATGTTAATTTTACAGTACTCGATACAGTTATAGATCCAGAGGGTAGATTTCTAATTATTAAACTATCAATATTGAACAAAAAATTATGTATTGTAAGTATATATGGTCCAAATGTTGATGAACCCTCATTCTTCCACGGATTTTTTAGTGCACTCTCTGAACACCTCGATTGCACACTCATTCTTGGCGGCGACCTCAACCTTGGACTAAATGAAGAAATGGATAGGCTCAACGCAACAGGAACTCAGCGCAATTGGCAATCCACAAATATAATCAAACAGTATATGAGCGACTTTGGCCTTCGCGATGGATGGCGCTCCCTTCACCCCAACAGTAAGGAATATACTTTTTTCTCACATGTTCATCACTCCTACTCTCGTC